ACCTTATGAATGGGAAGGGACAGAGGTGTTAACCCTCAAGAAAAGTGACTCTAGTTGTATGGCTCAGGTATGATTGCTGTATTACAACCATCCCAACACATCATAGCTTGAAACAGGGATGGCCCACATACCGCGTGTCCCCAAAAAACACATACGCCCTTTGAATAATTAGGAAGGCAGTGTTTATTAAAATACGTTTCCTTTTCATTTGGTTCTGTTTGCTCACAACTCTCTAACCTTGGGCAAGGAGAGTGAAGTATGGTAGCAATCGTCTCAGTTGGACACTGCTGTTTGGGTTCTGTACTTATTTGTTTGCTAAAACAATAATAGTTATTTTGATTTTCTGAATTTATGTATGCTCTCCCAGTACTCCATTGATGATGGTTCAAATATCCCATCGATTGTGATCTCACCGGTCATCGAAGCACATTCCTGGGACCCAGGACAACTCAATTATCCTAAATTGTCTCAGGGGCTACAGATAACGAGTTCCTGTTGACTCAGTGATCCCAGAATCCGGACAGCACAATCATTCTAAATCGTCCCAGTGGTCCCAGATAATGATAATGTGTTTCCGTTGATTCAGTGATTCGTAGATAACTAGTTGCTCAGATTCTGCTTCTGTGAAAATGTTTTTGTACGAAACAGGTTCCTCATTCCAGACCCAAAGATGTAATCAATACCTTTGTGATATTCTGCCAATATGAGCCAGATGTGGCAAGCTGTTCAGACCTGCGAGATCTGGAGCGCTTTTGCTCCCTCATATGCCGCCAGCCTTTAATAAATGACTCCATAATTTGACTTTTGAGGCGCCCTTTGTAAGAGAGGGTTACACTACAGTAGGGGTGTTGAACTCAATCAGAGAAGGGGCCAAAATCTAAAATCCAGCCTAAATCGCGGGCCGAATGGTTTACTGAACAGTCATAAACTGTCATTGTGATGGAAACGCAGCGGAGTGCAGTGATGACAGCGCGGTGCGGGCCACATTGCAAGGCCTGGCGGGACGGATTTGGCCCGCGGGCCTTGTGTTTGACACATGTGCACTACAGCAATAGCTTCTCTCTACTTGGTGTGCTGTTGACTAAGATGGTTCACCTGGGTTTGGAGAATCCAAAATGACCTCAATCACCTGCCTGGTGCCTGGTGGGAACAGCTGGGGGTTGTTTCTGCCTGAGCCTCTGTCTTCCTCTCTAACCTGGTCTCTCCGCAGCACGGTAGTTGGGCTTCCTTACAGTATGGCGGCTGCCTTCCAAGAGGGCACAAATGAAAATGGCCGTGACCCTTCAGGCCTAGGCCTAAAAGCCCCAGAATCTCTTCTGCCACGTTTCTTAGACCCATGGTCGGCAAACTGCAGCTCGCGAGCCACATGCGGCTCTTTGGCCCCTTGAGTGTGGCTCTTCCACAAAATACCACAGCCTGGGCGAGTCCATTTTGAAGAAGTGGCATTCGAAGAAGTTTAAGTTTAAAAAATTTGGCTCTCAAAAGAAATTTCCATCATTGTCCTGTTGGTATTTGGCTCTGTTGACTACTGAGTTTGCCGACCACTGGCTTAGACAAAGCAAGTCACAAGGCCAGCCCAGATTCAAAGGAGCAAGAGTAGACTCCATTGGCTAGGAGGGGCAGCAGGCAGGCACCGGGGTGAGAACCGTTCGCAGCCACGTCTGCACACAGGCTACCACAATGGTCCTGACACCCGAACCGGAGCCAGAATCGCCCAGGTCCACATGGATCCATCCAACCTGCCTCCTTGAAGGAGGGAAGAGAGAAGTCCGTCAGGTTCTTTGGAGAAGCAAGTACCCAAAGGCCTTCGGGGCGATGACCAGGGTAGGTCACTCTAGGAAAAAGGGAAAGGGACTCCGGGAGGGCAGAGCGAGAATGAAGAGGAGCACTGTGGGTCGCCAAGGACAATGGTGGTCAGACCAGGGGGCAGGATGTGAGTCCCACAGCAGGGAGGGGTGAGCTGGGACAGCTTGGCAGACCCAGTGACAGGGAACAGAGGCACTGGGCCTTGCCTGGGCCTTCTCGGTCCTCTGAGAAGGCGACAGGGGTGTATGTGCAGATCTTATACAACTGGGGAGCGCGCCGTGTCCGTTTTCTCCTTCTTTTCTCCATAATCTATTTAAAGACCATTTCTTCCGAGGCTGCGTGTTGCAATCTCTTTGGTACTAAGGTTTCGGATTTTCCACTGACGAGCCCCAAGCCCTGGAGACAACTCTTGCCTCCTCTCGCCTTACCACACTTGAGGAAGTCTGGATTTCAGCTCCGGTTTGGCCTCCACCACATCCTCCCCCTGTTGCACTTTTCTCCTGCCTGTTTGTATTGAGTCTAGACTTTCCTTTTTATTTGTTGATGCCCTACCCTAGCCTGGGGCGGCTGTGGTGCGGTGGGAAGAGCACTGGAATTGGAGTCATCGTCGTCGTCGTCGGGGAAAGCTGGTTTTGATTCTGGCTTGGCCATTTCCTGGCTGTGCCTAGCTGTCCAGGCGAGTTATTCACCCTCTCTGGGCCTCCTGCGTGTCCTCTGCCACTCGAAGTCACAGCCTCCTCTCCGGGGCTGCTGAAACGAAGAGACGGTGCCTGGACTGACAGAGAGTCCCTTCTCCCAAGCCCTGCTCAAATCCCCACCTTTCTAAAAGCCTAGAGTGTCTCCTGTCCCCTCCCCTGCACCAACCCTTCTCTCCCCTGCAGCCCTCGTCCACCTCCACAGTCTTGGCGCGAAACCCACCATTACGTCTCCGCTTAACAAATGTTTATTGAGCATGTACTACGATCCAGGCACCGTTCTGGGAGCCGGAAACACGGCGACAAACAAAACAGACAGAAACCTCTGCCCTCCTGTCGCTGGCACCCTAGCGGGGGGAGGGGGGGGGAGCGGATGGGGGAGAGGCGGTGAAGACAGGCCCAGTGGGGAGTACATCTTAGAGCTACACTATCCAAAATGGTAACCCCTGGCCACCGTGTAGATGGAGCATTAGAAATGGGGCAACTCCCTCTGAGATGTAAGAACAAAATGCACAATGATTCGAAGATTTAACTTCAACAGTGTTCCGTCTCTCGTCGGCTTTTATACCGATGAGGTGGTGGGATGCTACTTTAGGTCTGGGATTACCTAAACCTTATTATCCCGCTCAACGCTACCTGTTTCTTTTTACCTTTTACAATCTGGTTCCTGGAAAACGGTGTTACATACATGGCCCATGCCACGGTTCTATTAGCAGCTCTGTTCTAGAATGTCTTAGAAGGCTGTATGTGCTGTGGGGGGTGGGGTGGGAGGGGTGCTAAACAGGAGCATCCGGAGTAGAGGGAGAGAGGCGTGTCGACGGTGAAAGCAGTGGCCCAGGTGGCCGCACGGACGAGGCACCGAGACTTAAGGCGCGTGACGCCTGGGAAAGATGCTCCAGGAGGCGGGAATGCCAGTGCCAGGGCCCAGGCAGGGAGCGTGCCTGCCGCGTGAGGCCCAGAGAAGCCAGTGTGGCTGGAGCCGAGTGACCAAGGAGGCAGAGCTGGGGAGGTAGAGGCAGCCTGGAGGGTGCAGGCCCTTTCAGGCCATTGCACAGACGTTGGCTTTTTCTGAGTAAAAGACAGTCTTGCTGGGTCTTAGGCCAAAAGGTGACACAGCTGGGCTCACACGCTAACAGGTTCACTCTGGCTGTTGTGTGGCAGCTCAAGTGAGCCGAGAGGACAGTTCGGGGTTGAGAGGCTCCGGCCAGTAAGTCCTCGGGATGGCCACAGCCCCACCGGGCAGTTGTGTGGGCTCAGTGGGGGGGGGGGGGGGGGCAGCAGATGGAAAGCACCTGGACAATGAGCTCCAGTGCGGGCAGGGACCTTGCCTCCGGCCTCAGTGTAGCCAGGAGGCAGCAGGCACCCTCCCCAGCGGTTGTGAAGTCACTACACCACCACCATCCAGGCATCTCCCCGTGCAGGGCTGCAACCCCTGCCTCGCTGGGATGCTCTGTGGAAAGCCCTTCAGCCGCTGCCCAGTGGCTCTGGGGAAGGCAGCATTGCAGGCTCCCCAAAAGCTAGCCCTGCCTGTCTCCCGGGTCTCCACCCCTCACCCGCTCCCTGTCCGAGTGCCCCTGCCAAGCCTTTGCTTACTTTCCCTTCCACCTGGAACGTCCGCTTCAACCCTTCCACCCTCCCCTCCCTGTTCGGTCTCCTACCGGCTCCTTAAGGGGCAGCCTAGAGGCAATGCCATGAGAAGACCCCCAGACTCTGCTACCCCCAATGCATCCCAGCCCCACACTGGGTCAGAGGCCCCCATCCTAGTTTATGAAATTTTCTCTTCGTGGATTTACAGTTCTGTGAGGGTTGAAGTTGTGCCTTGGTTCTAACAGCATCCCTTGCCCACGCCTGATGGCTGTCCCCGTAAGTCCTGTTTGAAGGAATCAGAGAGAGGCAAGAGGGGGTGGGTTTGGAAGGATGTTCACACATGCCAGTGACCCAGGCAGCTTCTACTTGCCCCAGGACCCCAGGAGAGAAGACCACTCTGGGGCAACCAGGTGGGCTTCTGAGAAGAGCTGTGGGTCTACCTTCCAGGGACTCAGGGAACACCAGGGTTCACGCAGGAAAACTCACGTACATCTCGGGGTCCAGGTCCCCATGAGCACTCACTTCCCAGTCCCATAACAGCCAAATCCAGCCCCCCCCCCCCCTTCCGCTGAGTAACAAGCTCAGACCCATGGCCAGTTCCTTCCTTGACCAAGGGCCAGGGAGGGCCAGGACTGCGTGGCTCCTAAAGGTAGCTCTACTCACCTCGGAGCCCGAGGCTCTGTCTAAGGAGCTGCCCTCCCTCCCCCGTTCCCAGAGGGCCCCCCACCTCGCCGTATCATGGCAGAGCATGGACCAGCCCAGCTACACCGGAAGGACTCAGGCCCCAGCACCTGGGACCCCTTTCCCAGGCCTCAAATAAATGCCATGTTCCCCGAGGGAGGAGGGAAAGGGGGCAGGGAAACCTGGAACAAAGATTCAATGGAGAAGGAGAAACCAGGAGGAGCTCTGAGATCAGAATTAAATTCTTTAATACAAAATGCTTTTTTTTTTTTAAGATATATCTGTATTTCTTTGTTGCTGTTTAAAAATAAATATGTACTACGGAATATCTCGAAAAACCTGCACTAAGGGACAAAGATGTGATGTTAATATCTTTCCCCCCACAATTATTATGGATAAACAGTAGCACCAATAAATAAATGATAACAAATATTAAAATTAAAAAAGGAGAGAGATTTAGTATGTAGAATTCTCTATTTTTTCTTGTTTTGTTTTTACATATAAAAAAACAGAATAGCAATGTCTATTTCATCAGAATCACATATATACATAAACATATATATATATATACAAACATGAGTTGCCAAATATATATATAGTATGTAGATGTATATTGAAACCTTATTTCAAAGGAATGTGTGGTGGGGAGCCGGGGGGGGGGGGGGGGGGGCGGGGGGAAGGGTAGGGCAGAGTTGAGTGTTAGCAAAATTAAATATCTGTTCAGGACAAGCTAGTGACTGTCACCGATCAGGGAAGAGAGACTGTGGGAACACGGATTTTTTATACACAAAGACCAGCAAGGAGCAGTACAAATAAGAGAGAGAGAGAGAAAGCGAGCGCAAGAGAGCGAGAGAGATACATCTCATAAATAGTTCAAATTAAATATTAACCAAGAATACTGAAAAAACCCTACTCTTTAATTAAATTAACTGTTTTAATTTCTAATTAAAAAGAGATATTAAATAAGTACCGTATATAAAACACTTTCTCTTTTCTCTGCCTCCATGGTGGGCACGTGGATCCTGCCCTGTCTCTCTGAGCCGTGGGAAGGGTCGGGTGGGGGGACAGAGGAAGGTCAACCACTCACACACACAGAGCCAGGTCTCCTGCGGGACAGAGCTAGTGGTTTCAACGGTCTGAGGACCTCGGGGCCCCTGGGCCTCGCACCCAGGAAGGGAGCGGGGAAGCGGCCGAGGCGAGAGGCCCTTCCCACAGACGACGCCGCGCTTCACCGGGCTGCTCCTCTTCCTCCAGCGTCCTCTCCTCTTCGCCAGGACGCCTGGCGGCGGCCTCGTGGGCATCGCGGAGGCAGGCGAGAGCGGGTAAAGGCTGCCCGGGCTCCTGAGTCCTTCAGGCAGCGCCCCGGGGGGCAGCGTGCCCATGCAGCACGTGGAGGGGCTCCCCGAAGCACAGCCGTGTCCGGAGGCTCCCGGACTCCTGAGTGGAGCCGGCGTCCTCGCCCCTGTGCCTGTCGCCTGTCCTCGGGTCCATGTGACACGGGGCGGAGGCTCGGAGCCAGGGCTGGGTTTGTCGGTGTTCCCAGAAGCAGGCCAAATTTGCCCCCAGGCCCTGGCCGTGCATGCTCCTGGGCCAGGGAGCGTCCTGGCCACCCTAAGGGCCGCAGGAAGCTCATGGCAGAGTCTCTCTCCTCCCAGCTTCCTCCTTGTCGGGGTCTGGGCGGGAACCGTCTCCTCCCAACGCAAGTCCACAGCAGTCAAATACATCCAGTGAAGACACCAATAACATTAGCAATGTTAATTTAAAAAAAAAAAGAATATATATATTTTATATATATATAAAATATATATATTTACTTTTATATATATAATATATATATATATAAACATATGTATGTGGGTGGGTGTGTCTACAGGAATCCCAGAAATAAAAACTCTCTAACCGGGCTCGGTGATTTAGCAGCAAGAAAAACACAATGGCGATCCGAATCCAAGAGGGACCGTGCTTGGTCACCGGCCCGGGAATGCTTCCGCCGGAGTCTCGCCCTCCAGCCCCAAAGTGCTCTGCGCAGTCTCCTCTTCCTTCATGTCAGGTTTCTGGATTAAGGATTGTTCTGTCGATGATGATGGCGGTGGTGGTGGTGGTGGTGGTGGTGTGGTGGCAGCGGCGTGGTTTCTGTGTCAGTCATTCTGTATCCGTCTCTCCTGGTGAGAGGTCTGGTTCCCGAAACCCTGAGGGAGTTCCTTCCTCCGGCCTGGCTCACCGCCTCGGCTTGTCACATCTGCGGGACGGAAAACGGAGGTGGGTCAGGGCCGGGGGAGGAGCTGGGGGGAGTCCCCAGAAGCAGGAGGACGGTGACAGCTTGGTCCTGCCTCGGGGAGCCCGGGCGAGGGAGAAGCCAGCCCCTGTCTGTCCAAAGGGCCCTGTCCTAGCCGCTGTCTGAGCAGTGGCCATGCTCAGGGCTCCCCATCTGCCCTCTACAGCTTACAACCCAGTTGAGACAAAGCAAGGACATAGGGACACCCCATCACAGGCAACAGATAGACACATAAGAAACAACGGTCCCCGCATGACGCTTAAGAGCTAAGGGGCGGCCAGAGCTGGGCCCAGTGAACCTGGAAGGGTCCCTGCCGAGGGAGGTGATTCAGCGCAGTCTCTTGGGGCAGGTCTGGGGAAGAGAGTGAGGAGAGCGCCTGGAGCAAGGGAAAGGGGCCCAGGGAGACAGCCAGCCAAAGGAGGACGCTGCCCTGAGAAAGGGGGCTCCCGAGGCAGGGGGAGCCGGTGGAATGGGGCTGCAACTCCCTTCCCCACCCGCCCTCCCAGCCTCAGCCACGAGCCTGGCCCTTCCCGCGCTCCCAGGCAGCAGCAGGCCAGGCCCCGGGCTGCTTTCCTTCCCGATATGCTCTTCATCGTAGGGTGGGGACAGGCCATCGGCGGCCGGGCCTTCGCACTGAAGCAGAGGGGACCCCAAGAACTCGCTCCTCGTGCCCCCACCCCTGGGCTGATGGGCATCTGCCCGCCCCACTGTGAGGAGCTGGAGCAGGCCCTGCTCTTCTGAGAGTCTGAGAACGGGGACCCGAAGCCATTAGCTGGGGTACTGGATCCCCCCTACAGCTCAGCCAGGGCTGCGGGGGAGGTCTCCACCAGCTGGGGTAACTCAGTTAGCGCCCAGGCCACTGCACACATCCCCACCCCAGACAGTCTCTCTGCAGAATAATCTCTATGGAAGCCCTAACGTGGCAAGTTCCCAACCTCCCCACCCCCCCCCACCCCACCAGGCATTAGGCAGAGCCCCCACCGCCAATGCCAATATACACTCTGTGTCTCCACATATCACCAAGACAGACAGAGCCCCACAGCGACACCCCAAGACACGGTCCCCAGCACCCGCTGGACACTCACAAGCCACAGGGACCCGGTGGCAGGGCGGTAGCCACATTCTGAGGACGTTGTTAATGAAGCTTGGGGGCCAGCCCGGGGGATCCCACAAAAGCCCCTCCTTCCCGGGGGATGCCTGGGCACAGGCCACCCTGGTACACCCTCTGACCTCGCTCACACCCTTGACCCTGCCCTGGTCGCCCCCCTGTGCACAGAGGTATAGATGCCTGGGGGGGGGGGGGGGGGGGCCGTCACACAGGTACACAGATGAGTACTAACCAGGACCAGGTGTGAGGAGTTAGTTCAGTCTTATGTTAGGAAAGTGGGCATCAGCCCTCCCTCCGCCCGTCCTGGGGGCATTTGGGCTGTTAGGGGTTGTTGCCGCGACTACCGGAGTATTCAAGAACTCTTCTGTGCCCAGATGTTAAACCTCCTAAAACCCTAAACCAGCAGCCAGAACCCATGCCTTCGGGAGCCCCAGTATGAGGAGGGACTCACACCCTGGCCCCTGTGGAGAGGCAGTGAGGGGTGAGGAGCCTAGCGGTGCAGACTCCGGAGGGCCCACACCGGGAAGGGCCCTCGGTGTTAATAGCGATGGTAGTCACCACAAGGTCAGGACCAACAGCCACCACGAGCAGGACCACAGGACACAACACTCAGCTTGCGTCCACACCGCCACATTGAGCCACACCAGCCTACCCACTCAGGCAACCAGGGCAACCTCTGAGGGGCCCTGCCAGGCCAGACCAGCGCCCGCCACCCGCCCACCGCAGGGGCCTCGCCAGCCAGGAAGGTAGTAGTCGCCAGGCAGGCAGCTAGAAGCCAAGCAAGCAGCCGGCCCCTCTCGGGTCCGCTGGCTCTCTCGCACTCTCTCTCTCACGCTTCCTCTCTCTGTCTCCGACTCTGGGTCAAGCCCCTCTCTGACTCGCTCGCTCGCCCTCTGGGAACCAACCTGCAAGTACGTTCGTTTAACTCAAGCTGCCTCGCCTTGCAACGCGAGTCTGTGTTTTTGCAGGAACATTTACAGGTCTGCGGATCTTGTACAAACAAATGCTTTCTCCGCTCTGAGCAAGGCCCACAGGGACTGCAAAAAGGCAAAAGGAAAGACATCTAAGCTAGAGCATCAGCAGAGAGAGAGAGAAAAAAAAAAAAAAAAAAAAAAACACCATGCAACTCCCCCTACTGTGTGCAGCAGGGCCCCCACCCAGCTCGTGGGCCCCGCGGCCTTCCACGCCCTGGAAGGCTCCGAGTGCCGCAGTGGAGACAGAGCGCGCAGAGAGAGGCAGCACCGGGAGGAAGCCCGCCCGCGGAGAGAGGCAGACATAGACGGGCAGAGTGCAAGGAGAGACAGGGCTGCCGGGAGGGCAGTGCTGTCCACTGGACAAGCGCAAGCCTCAGGCCACAGGGTCCCCACTGCTACTGCCCCCCAAAACAGCACCTGACTCTTCACCTGCTGGTGAACCACCCTCTCCCCGTGCGAGGGCGTGTGCCCAGGCCCAGGCCCCTCCACCGGGGGTGGGCTGAACAGGGTGAGACGCCTGGCTGAGCCCAGAGGCAGTGTCCACGGAGGGAGCCCTGGCAGCTGCCCCAGAGGTTGGCCCACCACGGCCTCTAACCCAGAGGAAGCAGCCGCCCACCTGACTGAGGGGCTTCTGTGGGTGCCATGGTCGGGCTGGAAGAGGGGGACCCCCTCGAGGAGCTCCGAGTCCATGAGAGGAAGGGCCGGATGGTGCCTGACCACCCCCTCGCCTCCTCACCTTCCCCATCAGCCAACAACAAGCTGCTTCGAGTCATTCAAGCCCACTCCTCACACCACCCTCCTCACCGCCCTCAGCTTCCAGACAAGCACAGAAGCCCAGAGCAGTGGAAACCAGTCGGGTGAGCGGGCACCAGTGCCCGGCACCCATGCCAACATGGGCCGGCCACCGGTGCCCAGTGGGTGAGAGAAAGGCAGTGCCCAGCCAAGCACAGGCCAGAGCCCCCTCCCTGATTCCTCCAAGCCCACTTTGCCCGCCCACCCCCAACGGTTGGACCAGCAATACCACCACGAAATCTACCCATTGGTGCCAATTAGTGGAGTGAGAATGAGAGAGTGAGAACACTGGGGCAGAGGGGTGGACAGAGGCAGGGAGGGAGGGACAGAGGGAGGGAGAGGGTTAAGGGGTCCTGCAAGCGAGAGTTAGATGGGGGGCCCTGGGGAGGCTCCAGGGAACGAGACAGTAGCGGCACCACGTACAAGTTCCAGGATTTATACCGGGATTTCTTGCGCTTTCTTTTTTGCCCCTTTCCCTTTCCTCGAACTGATTTTCTGGAAAATAAAAAAACAGAGCCAGAGAGGAAGGGGGGGCAAGGGAGAGGAAGAGAAGCCGTGAGGAGGGCAGGGGACAGGACGTGCTCGGGGTAGGAGGAGGCAGGCGGCCTCCAAGGAAGAGCTTGCACTCATGTGCAGGTTGGGGCAGCAAGCACGGGGGTGGCTCCTTCTGCTCACTTCAGCCACCCTGGGGTGCCAACCCCAGCCCTGGGCATGGCCTTGGGTGGAGGGCACAAGCTCCAAGAGTGGGCCCTTTACCCTGCACAAGCCTGGTCCTGTGGGCAGGGGGCTAGACAAGGTAGGCCAGGCTTTGGGGGCAAAGGTCAGAAACCTGATTCAATTGGGGGTGGGTGGTGGAGGGTGGGGGGGCTGGCTGGGCTTCAGGCACCTTCTACCTTCATTCCCAAGTGCAACAGCAAAAGGGTCCCTCCAGAGGCCCTACCTCTGAGAGTGTGGGGGAACAGCTCCACTGGGGGCTGGCACCAAACCAAGGGCGGCACATATAAGGCACCAGCCCGTCCGAGTCATAACCTGGGCTGCGGAGAGGTGGGGCCGGGTGTCCTCACAGCCCCAGACAGGCCGGCAGGAGGGTGGGGTGGGAGCCAGGGAGGCGTGGGGAGGAGGGGCCTGGCCGCACTTGGCAGCTTGCACCTCCCCAGCCTGTCAAAGCCTGCTGCACCCTCTCACCGGGCTCCCTGCTGAGCCAGGCGAGCCCCCACTCCCTGTGGGCAAAGCAGGCCTTTGGGGAAAGGGCAAGGGAGGCAGGCTGGAGCCTGTCCAGTCAAGGGAAACAGTGCTCTTCTCACATGCCAGCCCGAGAGAATGCCCCTCAGAATGCCCCTCCCCAGGGGAAGAGAGAGAGAGAAAGGCACCGAGGAAGGGCCAGGTCTGTTTCCTCTTGTTGGGAGAAATGTCAGAAGGAGGAAGGTCTTCGAGTGTGTGCACACGCATTCTCCCTCTTCCTCCTCTCTCTCCCTCTCTCTTCCTCTCTCTCTCTCTCTCTCTCTCTCTCTCTCTCTCTCTCTCTCTCTCTCTCTCTCTCATAGCAATTCTGGAAGTTGAGGACTTCAGGAAGAGGTGAAGGGTTGAGGCCTAAGGGCCTTCAATGTCCTCCGAAACTGAGCAGATAGGGTGGAGAGGGAGAGGAGGGAAGGGCATAGGTCATCTCTCTCAGTCTCTTCTCCTGCAGACTGGTCCCCCAGGCCAGCGGCTCACGGAGTCCTGAGGGCTCACCGCCCCCAGGCCTCACCCTGCTCCTCCCCTGCTCCATCCTGACTTGACCCTCCACGCTGAGCCATTAGAAACCTCAGAAAATGACCGACATTCCATCAATTCTTTCTCCCTGACCCGGAGGGCTGGGTGTCTCTGGCCTGTTTCCCTCCTGCAGGAGGGCATGCACCCAAAAGCACGCCAGCCGGCCCCAAAGCCAACGGCACCACCACAGCAGCCACCGCAGAGGCTGCTTCATCTGACGCACCAAGGCTGGCCTCTCTGCCACCCGCTCCCTCTCCCTGCAGTGGTGATGGGAAGCTGCAGCATGCCAGGGAGCCAGCATCCACACTGCCCCTCGGCACACCAGAGCCTCGAGTCCCAGCCAGGGATGACCTGGAGACCTGGATGGGTTTTGTCCAGGCGGGGTTTTGTCCCTGGAGTTGGCTCCATCCCCTTGCGGCCACCACATGGCCCCATGAGACCACTTCTTGACCCAGTGAAGTAAGTCATCAGGCCCCTGACAGAGGAAGCCAAGAGCCCCAAACCAAGAGAACAGGCAAAGAGAAGGAGAACTGAAGTCATGGCCACTTACTTTTCTTGCCTTGCTCTCTCTTTCTTTGGTCTGCAGTGGTAGAGAAAGAGGAAAAGAACAAAACAGAGAAGGGTTTAGATGGCGATGATAGTGATGATATAATAACAACAATGCTACTACTAATAAAAAGTTAGCAATAGTATTTACCATATAACAATACAACCTTAATCCCTTTACATGTAACTCACTTAATCCTATAACAATATGACGAGGTCTATTATTGTACCCACTTTACAAATGTGGAAACTGAGGCACTGAGGTACCATTGAAATGCCCAAGGTCACACACACCTGCATTCACATTTGCTGTGCTGTAGGAAGCTCATCTCTCCTATGTGCTGGACTTTGTGAATTCTGATCCGCATGATCTAGAGGAGAAGGAAGCACATCACAGAGGTTAGTGACCCAGCCAGCCATACCCAGGTGGGACACCCCTGTGGCTCCTGCCACTCAGCCCCCAGGGGTTCTCTACAGAGCAGTGACGGGTGGCGGAGTTAGGGGGACCGGGGGCTCTATCAGAAAGAGCCTCAGGCCCACCCCAACTCCCCCAACCCTGCTGACCTCAGGGAGCCCCTGCTCCGCTTGAGGGCAGACACAGCTGCACGGGTTGGCCAGGCTGGGAATTCAGATCCTAAGTTCTCACCACTCCCCATCCCTCCCCTTCCCTTCATCCCTTTAGTCCTTCCTCCCCCCCCTCCCCCCCGAGAATCCCCACCCCGGGGTCTCACAGCTCCCTCCCGCCCTCCCTATCCAGGCTGAAACGGACCCCATCACCAGACAGCATCAAACCACTGGCTTAGAAACTCCCCACAAACCACGCTCGTCCAGCTTCCCAAACAGAGCCCCAAAGTGGGAGGGAGGCTCCTGTCACAGGTATCCTCCTCCTCCTGAACCCAGGGGCAAAGGTCAGGGAGAAGGAGGAGGCGGCCGGGGCTTGCTGGGAACCCTGGACTGGGAAGTACAGGCTTCTCTTTCCCCAAAGAGGCGAGGCCTGCCACGCCTCCCCGACTGACTCAGGGGCAGCGCTGGACCGGGCAGGCGGCTCCTCCTCTCACGTGCCCCTGCCCCTCCTCCTCACAGGCACGCACCTGCATGGTGATGTTGTGCTCCTCGGTGGGCACACACTCCAGGCCCTCGTCGTTGCAGCAGCCCCCGCACCGCATCAGGGGCACGCAGGACGGCTTGAAGATGTACTCGATCTCGTCGGGGTACTCCTGGAAGATGTCCACCAGGGTCTCGATGGGACGGCAGTAGCTGCGCTGGTACACATCCATGAACTTCACCACTGCACGGGAGGGGGTGGCACGTGAGCCCGGTAGGTCACACAGAAGACGGCCAAGCCCGATCTCCACCCAGCTCCGTAAGGCTGCTCCCGGGCTTTCTGGGAGAGGCACCCGCTGTGGGGCAAGTCCTCTCACACGTCTAACGTAAGTCCCTCCAGCTGTGGTGGCAGTCCTTCCCTGAGCTGTCTATCAACACAGCCGAAGACCTGCTTTTATGCCAAAGATGGCAGCATGCTGTCAATTTCCTGCCACATCTCATCCCCCTGCCCCGGCATGACAGCCAAGCCAATTCCCGGGTCAACCCTGATGCCAGAGGACAGTCTGAGTGGGAGTATACCTGTTGGGGTGCTCTAAGCACCCCATAGAAAAAGGAACAGCCAGCTTGGCCATCCTCCTCCCCATGTATGTACAGCCTCTCCACAGCCACTGCCATACCCTACCAACCTACCAGCTACCATTTAATGAGCACTTACTGTATGCTGGGCACTGGACACAGGACCCTATAGTTGACATCTCAAACAATCCTCTACTATGAGGTTCTGGCAGGACCTCCATTTTATAAATATGGAACCACTGGCCTAGAGGCTGAGTAATTTGCCCCAAGGCCACACTGCTAGGAACTGGTGGCATTAAAATCGGCCTGGGCATCAGAGCCTTGCTTAGCCTTCCTCTGCCATGAGACAACAGAGGGGAAGCTTCAGGGGGCACCTTGCCACCTGCCAGACCCCTCCCCACAGGTAGGCTGAGGCAGTGGGCACAGCACAACCTGGAGTCAGCAGGTGGCAGAGGGCGGGCACACTGTGCAGGCCCTGCCAGCCACCGATAACCCCACCCAAGAGGGCAAACTGCTTGCATCATGGAAAAACGGTGTTGCCACCGCAGCCACAGGGCACTTCTGGAAGCCGGTCCGGAGGGAGAGCATGGCGAAGGCCGCTTCCCAGGCTGGGGGCGGGGCCTGGGGTGCATCGGTGCATGAAGGGGTAATTCTGGGCCACAGGGGCGGGCCCTTGAGAATAAATAAACTCAGGACTCTGGAATGACTACTCCAAATTGTGGCCCAGCCTGCCACTCCCTATCTCACACACACCCCCCTCCACATTGCAATTCTGTCCCTGAAATGAGTTTCCTCTGCACAGGAGGGGAGGGCAGCACCCAGCCAGCGAGGAGGCAGGGCTCCGGCCGCCACTCAGTGTGACAGCGGGCCAGTCCCTCCCTCTGCACATCTGGGCGAGCGGGTTGGGCTGATCTCGAAAGACATGGAGACAAAGGCTGAGATGTGGAGTTTTTGTCTACCATTTCCAGTCCCAAAACACGCTCCCTTTTCTCAGCCCCAAGTAACACGAGGTTCGGAACCTCGGCCCAGATGCTCTCCCCAGAGATAGCAGCTGAGCCTCCAACCTCCTCCCTCTTCCCTCCTCCCTCCTCCCTCCTCCCTCCAGGGGAACGAAGGCAGAGGAGCCCGGGGGCTGTGTCTATCCTAAGTGGGTTGAGGAGAATTCGGAGAGATGAGGGAAAGTGAGAAGAGGGGAAGCCACAGATGTGAAAACAGAGAGAACAGTGGGGATCCCCACACCAGTCCCAGGCCCTGCCTACCACCTCTACTTTCTCTATTCAGGCAATGGCCACAAAATTCTTCTCTACCCCCAAAAGGGTTAAGGTAAGGTGTCTTGAAAAAAAAAAAAAATTATAAAAACAAGACTAGGGATCTGAAGAAGTCCTCTCTAAGCCAGGTCTATATTGAAGAAGATGACTAATCCAGACCTGACACTTTGTCATGGTTGGGGACAGACGGGGCCCAGGCCTCAGGGCCACAGGTCCCACCCAGGACAGGGGAGTAGGGAAGTCTGGCCAGGTGGCTGAGAGCTGAGGGTAGAAAGGCTCTGGGTGAGAGTTCCTGGGGGAAAGCTCCCTGGATTCCCGCCCCCCCCCGGGGAGGGGGGGGCAGGTAGAAGGGGACAACTTCACCAGCACCCTGAGCACCCTGAGCACCCTAACCGCTGCCTCCACGGAGAGCTGTCCCGCTCTGGCACAGGGCGAGGACACACAGACGCTCGAACATCGGGCTTCCGCTGTTTTCCTTGTTTCTCGAAGACACCCTTTCCCCCAACAAAGACCATTTGTCTTGCCTCTCTCGGGCCACAGAGACCACTGGGAGGCTCAGGGTTAGAGACACAAGGAGCGGGTGGCCTTACAGGCGTGGAGCGGCCAGGAAGCCAGGCCCAGGGCCAAGGAAAGGGCTCCCAGGCCAGGAAGGAGGCAGAACCGGCTGGGCATCACCACCGGCCACCGGCGGGGAGTGCAAACACAGCCCTTGGCCACTACCCTGGGCCGGCTTGATTAAGGTCAGGGAAAAGCGCCTCCAGGAAGACCTCCTGGGAGCTGGGGAGCTGGGGGAGGAGCATGGGGCACTCCGCCCGCCCCGGGCTGGAGCAGAGGCCCGGTGCGGCGGTGGGGAGAGCCTGGACCTCCCTAGAGACAGGGGAGGCGCCCTGCACCAAACCTCAGTGAACAAAAGGCAGGCCGCCTGGGCTTGGGCAGGGGGTGGGGCGGGCGCCGTGGAGCTACAGCCAGCCCTCTGCTGGCCCAGCAGGGAAGTTCACAGCACCCAAACCTCCTCCACCTGGAGGGCTTTCTCTCTCCACCCCCAAAGGAATACAAACTGGGGGGATGGGGTCCCATGAGGCTGGGTCTCCGCACCCCTAGCTCATGCACAGCCACCAGCTCTCTGGATGGCAAGGGTCACAGCCCCTGCACACAGGCCCGACAGGTGAGACATGCTGGGTTGGAAGTGACATGGAGTATCCATCCTCCCTTGGAGGAAGGGGTAGGGGGGAGGGTGTGAGACAAACAGACTTCTGGGATACTTGAACATTGTCCTCCTGGTCCATGCTCATAGCTCCCTCTTCACAGAAACTTTACTGGGAAGAGCAGAAGGAAAAGGCCACAAGTCCTTTCCCTAGTAAAGGCCTGCATAGGGAAGAGCCAGTCCTCTGGAAAGAAGGGTTAACCTTTCCCTTTCCTGATCTCCACCCCAGACCATGAAAGAAGAAACGGGGCCTCCCACCCCAACCCTTGGGGAGTTAAGGGATCCCATCCAGGGGCCGGGGGGACTCACCTGGGTGGGCTTTCTGCTCTCCTTCTGCCGTAGGCGCAGCCTGGGACCACTGAGGACAAAACAAAAGGGTGAGACATGGGCATGGGCAGGGGGACGGCCACTCTGCCCCTCCTTCCTCCTCCTGCCCCCCACTCCCCACCCCATAGCCCCTGGCTTCTCTGAGGCTTCTGAGTAGAACGAGGCACCACCAGGGACTCCCTGCAGGCCAGAAACGCCCCCCCCCCCCAGACTGCTCCGATTGTGAAGCCAAAAGAAGATAAAGACTGACCAGGCATTGGGGGTGGGAAACTCAAAAGGCAGTAGGAAAACAGCAGAATCTCTAGATCCCTTCTCCACAGTTCTGAGCTAAGGGAAGTAAATCTTCTCCCACACCCCACACACACATACACACACACACACACACACACACACACACACACACCCCACACACACACACATACTCCCCCACTCCCTAGTCCAAAGCCACAGGTAAGTATTAAGGTCAAAAAGGACAAATTTGGGCTGGGGCAGGAAGGAAGGACTGGGGGCGAGAAAAACAACATGGTGACCTTCTCCTGCTGACATGACAAATACCAGGGTGAGCTGACGCTAGGAAGGGAGGGGGCACAGAGGCCTGAAGGGCACCAGCCACCCTCCCCCATCCAGACTCTCAAGTCTTCAGGAATATCCAGAAAACCCACAGGTTGCCTGGAGGGTAAAAACCTGGGAGGAAGGCTGGAGGGAGGGGAGAGCTCATTTCTCCCCGTGCCCAAGTCTCACCGGGGCCTGAACAGATCTCCAACACCTTTAGCTTCACACTCCTGGCCTGTTCCCTGGTTTCTCCTCCCTCCCAGACTGAGGGGGTCCCCAAGTCCCTCTCACCTGGGCTCTTTCCTCAAATGCAACCAGGGAAGTCTTTTATGCCTTAGCAATGCCCAGCCCCTAGGGGGCCCCCTGCACTACCTAGGCCTGAGGCCTGCCCCCATCCTTACCCACCCCCACCAGCTCATTCCTCCCCTCCCCAGAAGCTGTGAAGGTCAACAAGTCCAACCATGTGAACCTGACAGCACTGGGCAGAGGCTCCTTCCAGAGGGTCTGCCGTTCTCACCAGCTGCCCACCCCATCTCCCCCTCTTTGCGGGCAGAACCTGAATGGCAGAGCCACCCCCTCGCCCACAGAACTGCAGAGCCACCGAGAAGTGAGCATCTCAGTCTGTCTGCCTCTCTCTCCTTCCCACCCACTCCCAATGCACCCCGGTTCCCCTAGCCTTGCCCCCAGGACCAAGGTCAGATAACAGTTTCCAGACTCCCAGCTGGATAGCCTCCAACTGCAGCTCCCTCAGGAGCCCCCCAGAGTGTCCACCTCAGTCCCTCACCCATGCCCAGGACACCCCCCAGGCTTCCCTCTGCCAACTTTCTCTCTGTGGCCTCCATGCCTCCTGGACCCCAACTAGGAAAGGGGACAGAAACTCCATACCCCTTCCAAGGCCTGGGGGCACAGGGAGGAGCAGTTCTGCGCGGGGAGGGGCCAGGTGCCCTTCTCTGGGGGCCTCTGAAGGTCACACTATGGCCAGTCCGCCACTCCTCCCCTCCCCTCCCTGCTTGGAGGCCTGGAGCCAAGGCCTTTGTGCCAGGGTCTGAGGAACTCCGGTGGCAGCAGGGACCCCGGCCCGTTTCCTTCCCTGGGCCTCTGTGCAAGGGGCAAGTCCAAGGGAGGGGTGGGAAAGTGACCTCCTAGGTGGCTTAGAGAATCGAGTTGGGTGGGCAAGTTTGAAGTTCCAAAAAACCACCTGCTCCCGCTCCAGTGTCTCATTTCACTGGGACAAAGTGTGTTTGCAAGGCCGGCAGGCATGCTTCCCAAGGTTGCCTACCTCTCAGCAAATTTGAAACCGTTTTTCCAAAAAAGTGTAAAGTGGGGTAATAATGACACTCTGTAAACCCTCCCATGGCCCACCCCACAAAGGCTAAAGCGCATCCCACCTGGAAGTGTGGGGGAAGGGAGGGAGGGACGCTGCCTGTCACCAAGTGGGAGCTCTCCACAAAGCCCCCCGTGGGCCCTGGCACCCTGACCCCTTGACGGGGATCCTCCTCTGCCTGGCCTAGGGGCTGAGCGAGGTTTGATGGGAATTCTCAGCCGAGGGGAGCGAAGACTAAAGGGATGGGCAGGGGGCTCTCTCCACGCCAGGGAGGAAATGGGGAAGGGGCGTCTGGAAATCCTTCCTGGCACAGGAGGAGACAGGGAGCTGGAGGCGGCCGGAAGGGACAGGGTGGTGCTCCGGGTGCTCCCGCCGGACTACCTCGAGAGGTCACCTTCCCGAGGAGGGCCGGCGGGGGGAGGGGCGCCGCTCGCCGCCCGGGACTCCCAGCTCGGGCCGCGGCGGCTCCGGGAACACGCGGCTGGCCAGGCCCGGGCTGATGTAATCGGCTCCGCGCCGCGCGCGCCCGGCCGGGCGGGGGAGGGCGGGCGGGCACGGAGCGGGACGCGAGCGGGGCCGGGCGGGGGTGGCGCCGCGCAGGTGGCCCGGCGGAGAGGGGGTGGGGGGGGTCCCCGCAGCAATCCACCCCGAAACTTTTCCTAAACTCGCGGCGAGGGCCGCAGGGACCCAGCGGCGGTGACAGCGAGCCCCTCTTTGCGCCGGCGCCCTGCCCCCTCCTCCGCGCTCTCAGCCCTCCTCCGGTCCAAGGTCCGAGCACCCCCCTGCCCGCTGGACTCCGGCTCCCGCCCCCGCTGCCCGGACTTTCAGTTCGTCGGGGACCCGCCGGCGGCCGGGAGCAAACTTCAGCGGCCGGCGGCGGCGCAAGCCCAGCCCCCTCGGCCTCCTCCCGCGGCTCCCGCCCTCCTTCCCTCCGCGGGTCGGCCCAGATCGTACATGCGGCGATCCGGTGGGTGGGCAGGGCCCGCGTGGGCGGTGAGCCTCTACCCCGGTGCCCTCCCACCTAGCGCGCGCCCCCTCCCCCTCCGCGTGCGAGGACGGAGGGGGAAGCCGCGCGCCCGGCGCCCGGGGACCCGCGTGGGGCACGGAACCCCCACGCGCGCGCTCGCACGCACGTCCCCAGCCGCCGGGAGAGGCGCTCGCAGCGGCCCGCGGCGCCGGGCGGGGACGGCCGCTTACCTTGGCATGGTGGAGGTAGAGCAGCAAGGCGAGGCTCCAATGCACCCAAGAGAGCAGAAAGTTCATGGTTTCGGAGGCCCGGCCCGGGCCGGCGCGGCTCGCGCTCCCTCTCCGGCTCGGGCTGCGGGGCGGCCCGCTCTCCTCGTCGCCCGGGCGGGCTCCTCTTCCTCCCGGAGCCGAGGCCCCGGCCAGGGCCCTGGGCGCGCGCGCGGCTGGGGCACTGTCTTCGCACACGGCCGCCTCACCCGTCCATGAGCCCGGCTGCCGAGCGCCGAGTCGCCACCGCGGCCCCCTCTCCTCTTCCTTCTCTTCTTCCTCCTCCCCCTCCTCCTCCTCCTCGGACGGAGGCTCCTCCCGGCCCGGGCTAGCACTTCTTCTCCCGGCTCCGCTCGGCTCGGCTGCCCCGGCGCGGACCACGGCTCCTCCGGAGCGGGAACAGCCGAGAAGTTGGACGAAAAGTTTCAGGACGACGCCGCGAGCCCCGACCCCCTCCACCCCGCCTCCGGGCGCGGGCTGCTGCGGCTCCTGCCCGCGGCTCGCCGCCGCCGGCCGCCGGCCGCCGAGGAGGTGGGCGCTGGGGCGGGGGGCGGTGTCTGTCTGTCTGTCGGTCAGCGCGGCTGCTCGGGTGCGGGGCCGCGCGCCGGCGGTCACCCCCAAAAAGCAGGTCACTCGCTTCGCCCCTGTCCCTCTCGCGGCTCGCCCGCCCGCTCGCGCGCGCTCTCCGACCCGGTCTCTCTCTCTTCCTCGACTTCTCTTCGGCGCTCCCGCTGCCTCTTTCTTCTCGCTACTGGTTTCCAAAATCCGGAGTGATTTGGGGGGCGTGAAGGAGCGATCTTCCCAAACGGCCGGCCCGATTGAAGCGGGGGGAATGGGAAGCAAAAAATAAATTAAAAACTGAAAAGAATACGGTTTTTGTTTTTTTTAAAAAAAATGTTTAAGAAAAAAAGGGAGGAGGGTAAACCCTGGTTAAATCAATTTCAAATCCCAGTGCGGAGACCCCTGGCTGGTGACTCCGAGGGTTCGCCTGCCTCCTCGCCGCGTCTTCCGACCGAGCGCCGCTGCCGCCGGCTCCGCTAGCCCCCCGCGCCGCGGCCTCCCCGCAGCCTGGCTGCCCCAAGCCTCTGCGCTTCCCAACGCCACCAGCCGCCCCAAAAAAAAAGGCCTGGCTCCGCCCCCGCCGCCAGCCCCGCCCCCGGCACGCCCCCAGGCGAAGACGCTCGCCTCCAGCAGCTCCGCTCCGGCCCGGCCCCCTGGCGCAGCCTTCGCCTGCGGACACCTAGTGAAGCAAGCCTATGCCCCCACCCACCCAAGTGAAGGGAAAGCTTGACCCCCACCGCGGCGCACAGCCTGAAAATCACCCATCCGCCTCCCCCACCCCCCACCCCACCCCCGCTTTGCCCGGAGACCCACTCGCGGTATCTGCGGGGAGGGAACAGGAAAGTGAGGTTACGTGAGAACAGACTAGAAAGCTATTCTCCTTTGCTGGGGATATTGGAGAGGGCGTGAGGATGGGGGCATCCAACAGGAACGGGTGGAGATAGGGAAGCACAGGTCTTCTGGAGTGACCCCTGCCCTTCTCGCCCTCTCCGACACCCTCCTCCTCCAACACGCAGTTCCCCCTCCCCGCACTCACCCTGACACTCAGCGCGTCCTCACTCTCCGCTGACGCTGCTCTACCAAGTTCACCCAGCCTCCCTGTGGTGGCCGAGCGCCCCCTAGCGACACACCCCAGCTCTGGCTCAAGAGGGAATGGGCCTCAGGATGAGAGGGGAAGATTTACCCCTGAGCCCTGCATTTCTGACCTCCCAAACAGTGGTCTTTTTTTGGACTCGTGGCCCCATGTGCAGAGAGCCCAGTAATGGGCACAGAGGGCCCCGTGTACCCATCTGGACAATGTGCTCATCAGAGTGAGCTGCAGCCAGCAGGCTGGGGTGACTGGGTTCCTTTGGGAAGTATGGAGAAGGGGGGGAGGGGTTCTTCTTGGGAAGAGTATTTAACACGAGTTTGTGGGGCCTAGAATGGGAAGCGTGTGGTTCTGGGGTTAGTCAGCGCCCAGAGGAGAGAGGACCTGTTGGAGACCACGTATGCTCAGTGGAGTCTGGCAGAGCCCAAAGGGAGAGGCAGCTGGACAGACAGAGGCCCTTGTTTCTGCTCCCCCCACCCAGATGTTGCCAGGGAACTGAGGCCAGGGGGCTGGTGGAGCGGATGGAGGCCAGGGCCTGAGTGATGATTCAAACCTACTCACCAGCACTGAGGAACGTCTGTAGGCCAGCTGCCCAGAGCTCCCACCTGGCTGGGGGCCAAGGGTTCCATCAGCCCCATCCAGGCTCACAGCTCCTCTTCTGAAAAGAATTGGGGAGTTGTCCTCTGCACCCTCAGAACCCGGATCCCTTGCCTGCTTCTCCCAGTTGGTGGCCTCCCTTCTCTCCTCTCCTCTCATCCCCTCCATTTCTTCAAAGCCTCACTCTTTCCCAACTCCCCTATCTTCTCTAAGTGTTCCCCAAGGCCCCCCACCCCACCCTTGCATATAGGACCAACCTGGGGAAATTCCTGGTTGGGCTTTGACCCAGTAGCTCCTAGGCTCCCCAGGGAACAAAGGGGGGCTCTAATACCTGTGGGAAGAGAGGGACCAATGGGTCGCATTATTTATCTGGGTCTGGCCAGGGCCTGGCCTAGGGCTGGTATAGCCTCTGTGAACGCCTCGCCTAGGCTGAGAGTGGAAGCCAGGGTGAGAGAGAATGGGAATGCAGTAACTTCCCCCAAGTTGGTCAAAATGATCCAAAAGGGTTACTCCGCCAGCCCCCCACCTCAGCAGTGGTGCTGTGTTTTGGGGGGAGTGCTAGGTTACCCCTTTAGTACTCCAGTTCCATGGGAGTGGTGTCCCGAGACCCCTATGAGCAGAGGGGCTGGCTCCCCCCAATTCTATCCTACCCTTTCCATCATTCATGCCTCCAGGCCTGTCTCCACCACCTGGCAGGCTTCCCAGCAGCAGGAACAAGGTCTTTTTACAGTTTACTTTTTAGTAAACATTTATTTGCTGGCTCAGGGCCCCCTCCCAGGCAGGCCTCCTCACCTAGGCTCCATGCTCAAGCTGCCGCATGGGATACGGAAGGCCAGCTGCTGAGCGTCCTCCTCGACCAACCTGGTTCTCCTCTCAAACCTCCGGAGCACAAGGTCTGGGCACCTTGGCACAGTCCCCCTCCCTCGCTCCTACCCTGAAGCAAGCAGAGCCCAGGACAGAGACTCCCAGAGGCATCACTTCCATATCCCGCTCATCTCAGGCTTCCCCGGCCTCCGGGGAGGCCTGAAGAGGAGGTCTTAATGAACTGCCCTGAACTCGGAAGGAGGGTGAAGAGGTTCCAGAGGTTCCAAGGAGGTATGGCCATTCGCTGTCACTTACTAGCCCAGTGCTCTCCCCGGCCTGGGCCAGCCATCCCCGTTGGTGGCATTCGGCAATGTGTGTTCCAATGCCCTCTGTGAGCTCCACCCAAGGAGCCACAGGAAACGGGGGAGCGGAATTGCAGGCTGGCCTGAGGGGTTTTGGCACCCTAGTCAGGGACGAGGTGGGGAGGGGGAGGAGAGGGTGGTCTCCCATCTCCACCTGTTATTTCAGACACACAACCTGGTGGCGACTTAGAGGAGGGGTCTTGACTCTGAACGCCGTCCCCCAACCTGGCATCACACGCTTTGGTAACAGTACACCATCATGGGCCCAGCCGATGCTCACATTGTCATGGAATGGAAAGCCCGATGCACAGAGCAATCATAAGACCACGTCGTGTCTCTATAGCGCCTTCTCTTCCCAGCAGCCTAATCCACAGACTTAATTTCCCTTCTCCTCGCTCTGTGGGTGGCTTCAGGGCCGGAGTGTCAGGGAAGGCTGTCCCTCCAGAAAATCCCAAGGGCACAGAGGGGCCCAAGATCACCCAACAGCATGGTGTGGGAGGGGGCATGGAGCCGAGAGCAGCCCATACAGAGGTCACGCTGGTTCCCCTCGGGGACAGCCTCAGCCGCACTCGGGGCTCAGGAGGCCTCCGCAGAAGGCTCTGTGCAGTTCAGAAGGCGCCTAGGAGGAAGGGGAAGGTGTTCCAGGGGAGGCGGGAGGAGGGAGAAGGGAGAGTGACAGAGGTGGGGTGGGAAAGAAGGTGAAAGGTGGCCAGGAGCCAGCTGTGGCCCCAAACAAAGGAAGTAGTGATCGGCCCAAGGCACAATGGTTGTACTTTGTCCCGAGGTCCTGTCACCTCTGATGTTCAGGGAAGCTCTCCCGCCTGCGGGTGTGGGCAGCTCACCTCCAGGCCTGCAGATAAAGGCACAGGGCCCCCCTCACGTGAGGCGAGGGTCCCTGAGCCTTGCTGTTGTCTAAACATTTCTCCAAGTGGTCTCTCTGTGATGGGAGGAAGGTCTCCTCCCTCCACTCAACGCCCGACCCCCAGACACGGAGCAGTCCACAGACGTAACCCGCAGCAGGGGCAGGAATACCAGCCCGTAGAATTGAGGGGGAGAGAATGGAGTGGGTTCCTCTCAATTCTGTGTGGCCGTGGGTCAGCCTCTCTGTGTGTCTCACTAGTTATCTTTGCAACAGAGCAATGGAGAGACAAAGCAAAAGCCAGGAAGCCAGGCCTCTTTTCCAGTGCCAACACCATAGCCACATCTGGATCTGGAGGCTTGGCTCGGTTAATGATAGGTAATCTTGCTGACTGGTAACAAAATGGGAGCCGGGGACGCCAGAGAGGTCAGCTCCCTTCAGAACCCAGTCAGGAAAAAGGAGTGAAGGAGGAGGGGGGGCAGGCTGGGGACCGGGCAGAGGAGCTGGGCAGGGTCACTATCTCGGGGAGTGCACCTACCCACACCACCCCCTGCCCCATCAGCCAAGCCTCTGCCTCTCCTTCCTGGGCCTCCGTTTAACCCCTAACACCAGGCTGTCTTCCCGGATTGCTTCTCGCTGTCAGCGCCCGACATGTCCACTTCCTGACAGCGCTGTCCTCGCTAACCCTCAGAGTCAGATCCTCATCCTGCCCGTTGCTGCCCCGTCCACACCCCTGCCCCGTCTGCTGGGAAGAAGGTGATGGTACAAGGTGGTAGCTAAAGTCCTAATGATATATCCCCCTTCGAACCTCACTCCTGCCTGGAGCCGAGCTTCATTTCAACTTATGTATCTTTCCCAAGGCCTGCCAGGCACCGGGCTGATATTATAGGAGGCACAGGGAGACCTGAAGTAGGTTCGTGGAAAGCTCGGGGCTTCGGGTCCAAATGGACCCACGTGGCACTCCTGGCTCTGCCTCTTTTTAACTGTGTGACCTCAGGCAAGCTACGCCACCTCTCTGGTCCCCAGTTCCCCTTGTCTATAAAACTGACGGAAAATCCCGGCCTAGGAGGGTTGCTGCACAGATGGTTGTGCACACAGTCACCCCAGAAGGCATGATGGGAAGGAAGCCCCTGAGCGAGGCACACGGTGCCATGAAGGTTCTGAGGCCGAGCAGCCCACCCGGCTGCAGTGGGCGTCGGGAAGAGCTTTCCGAAGGAGGTGATGTAGGATGTGATCCCATAAGCAGGCACTGAATTCAGCCCACGAGCCCTGTTCTGGGCTGGGCCCTGGGACGGCACCAGTGTGGAAGGAGCTTCCCACGTGGAGGTGAATCAAAGACGAAAGTGGAGATAGAAGCTCTCCAAAGGGGGCCGTAGTTGTGGGGAGTAGAGAAGGCCTCCTGGAGGAGGTGGCAATTGAGCCTTGATCGAAGAACAGATTAGCCAACAGGTGAAGCAAGAGAGAACAGGCAGGGAAGTGAGGACTCTGGTGGCCTCCATGGGGGATTAGGCTTTTTCACAAAGATTCCTAGACAAAGCCCACAGGGACAATGATACTCCCTGGGAGAGGGGAAGCCCCACATGGTGTCCCCACCCTCTGGGACAGCATGTCTCTGCCAGAGAATTTAAACAAACAAGCAGACACTGGAGGTGGGTCCAGCACTGATGTTGTTTGCCTGGGGCCAGAGGAGGAGACCAGCCAGGGACCAGCGCAGGGCCGCTCAGCGGGGGCAAGGCGAAGCAGCACGGTCTCCACTCCAACTCTGCCCTCTCCCCATCCCCAGCAGGTGCCCATCGCGCTCCTGGTGCCTGCCGCAGATGTATGGAGACCTGCAATCGCCCTGGGCAAAAAAATGCCAAGCCTCCTACATGTGGGTGACCCTGGCCAAGTCAGTACCCACTTCTGAACCTCAGGCTCTGCCAAGGTCAAAGTCCCCTGAGCTTCAAGTCTCTGTAGCAGCTCCATCAAGCATCCGAGTGCAATCGCTAAACAAAGTGCACATCTTCCAGGCAGTGTGCCCTCCTAAAGGCTCCTCGAGAGGACAGTGCTGAGCTCGGAGAACCCCAGCACGCGTGTGAAATCTGAGGCACGGCACCACGTGGTGCAGGGGAGATGTGGTTCCAAGGAACCCATCACATTTCAGCAGGTAGGGAACTGCTTCCCTGGGAGGCCAGAACCTCAGTCTTAAAAAAAAACAAAAAAACACTGGCTTGGTGAACCCTCACTGTGAAAAGCCCCCAGCAGCTCCCCTCTCCCACCCTGCACCTACCTGCGCAGCATGCGGTGAGAAAAGCCAGGCGAACTGGGCTCAGTCTTGGTTCACCGTGTCCAAGCTGTGACTTCGCACATGTCACTTCATCTGTTTGAGCCTCCGTCTCCTCGTCTATAAAATGGGAGTCACAGGCCTTCCTCCCAAGGTTGGAGGGGGACACAGCCTGCCCGCCATACCCTCGGAGGTTTGGCAGGGAGGATTTTGGTTTCTGGCAGGGTTATGGATATCGAGTGACAATGAATACAAGCAACGCTCCTGGCTAGGTTAGAGTAGGGGCCCCATCATGTCACTTCCCTGCCCTTTCTCCTGTCCCTCCCACCCTCCCACCCCCCATGCTCCCCCACCCCTGTGAGGGAGCAAACTCCCTGAGAACGCAAGCCCACTATCATTTGGCTAAAGTCAAACAGAAAGAAATAGGAGCGTGGGTTTATCCCATCCCATCCCCCTGTTAAAAAAAGAAGCCACACGATGCGTGCCAAAGATGACGAGGGGTGGAGTATGCCGGCCGGGTTCCTGCTTTCGCCTTTCTTTGGAACAACTGTCACCAGGTGGTCACTGAGTTGATGACAATGTAGGTTCCTTCAGGGAAATCCTAGGGGAAAATGAGAGAGGCAGGGACCCAAAACACCCCCCACACACACATACTTCCTAGCAAGCAGGGTCCTTTCCCTCCTCCTCTAGTGACCCCCTGGGCCTTGGCCGGAAGCCTAGCCCAAGCCCCCCAGGACCGTTCACAAAGATAAAGCCAGTTAATGATTGGCCCCTGGGAGGAGTCACCCCCACCGTGCTGCCTGCCTTCCCAGACCCTGCAGAGAAAAGGGCAGGCCATGGGGAATGGGAAACACACACACACACACACACACACACACACCGCTTGGCTTCCAGGAGCAGCCTGGCCTAACGTCCTCGAGGTCATCCATGAAGCAGTTAGTCAAGGGGTATCCCTGTGAGAACTTCGGACCCTGATCGTAGGGGCCTTGGGGGCCTCAGAGGTGGGGCGGGTGGGGATGGACAGGCAAAGCACACCATTTTATCTTGCCTCGCTGATTGGAAAAGGCTCCACTGCTAAAAAGGAAGTTTGAAAACTCCTTCGACGGCCAGATGAACAGAATGGGGCCCAGCGTTGTCCAAAGCCATACATCTGCCCAGAGGCAACCCCTGAACTCAGATCTCTCTCTCTCTCTCTCTCTCACAGCTGGGTGCCATTCCTACCTCTCCAAGGGCCACCACCTCGGGCTCCAAGGCTGAGCCAGGCACCTTTGGGACACTGAGAGCTCCTGCCTCCAAGAGCTGACTCACCAGGTGGGGAGCCAGGCAGTGCCAGGGTGCGCTGGGTGGCATGAGCATCTGGAGCAGGCCCACTGCTGGGCTCAGGGCTCCAGAGTTGGCTCCTCCTTCCCATGTATGCACCATGGCCTGGGTCCCCCGGAGAGATGGTCCTGCCTCCCTCTCCCCACATGCCAGCCTGCTCAGCCAGACCAGCTCCTTCCAGAACAGCAGGAAGCA